TTTTTTGGGGGGGGGGGGGAGGACCAGAGACTCCCTGTACTGTACCCCGAGTCCGTGGGTGGAGCACCGTCTTCTTCGGCTTCTTCTTGACAGGTCCATTCTTCTTCCGAGGACGAGAGGTCATGCTTTTTTTTCAAATTGTAACGCTCTCTCTTCATAACGACAGGGGCAGGCACTGACTGAGGACCACCAGAGGTTCCTACCCGAGGCTCATCGACCTCAGTTGCTGTCCACCCGCTCAGCCTTCGACACACACACACACACACACTCACCCATAATAGTGAAAGCTAGGTGCCAAGAAAAATAAGTGACCCATCACCATGGAGGATCCTGAGGCTCGTTTCCGCGCCTGGCTGAGGTCCGTTGACCGGGTGTTTGTACCGCCTCGAACCCAAATCATGGCCACGGCTCGTGAGATGGGTCTAACACCCGGTCGGACCCAACAAATCTTGGACTCGGAACCCGAGCTCACCCGTCTCAAGTCGGGACGGGTGCCCAAGGGTCGAGTCGCTTTCCGCCTNAAATAAAAACTTTTAATGTTTTTTTTTCAATCGCCTCCTATGTTGATATACTGGCAGAATGCCGGTTGGTTTCATAATATTATTGACACAAGTTTCCTCAGCCCTGCTTATGAGAGCGCTTAAATTTCTTTTTCGCCCTAAAAATTCCGTTTTCGCTCTATAACACCGGTGTGATATATTGAATAAAATATTTAATTGAAAATTTGAGAAAAATTTATTAAATGCTTTGAAATATTTACGCAAAATATACTAAAAATTAAATTTTATTCGAACATCGGGATCGTTTTTTACGTAAAATTTATGTATTTCATCGAATTTTGACCCAAAAATACAGGTCATTTTCGAAAAATTTGCTACAGATTGAGGATCTAGAGATAGTTATTTGTTTCCCAGCTAGTATAAATTCATCGAGTTGTTTCCAACACGTCGTTGGAGGGATAGTTAGTATATAAAAAATACTGTTTAAAAAAGATTCCTACCGGAAGATGGAGAAAAGTTCTTGTTGGTCTTCTCCCACTGCCGAGTCATCGGGTCCAGAACCTTCTAACACCAGGTCATAGGAGAGGGCTGCGTCTGAATTGAAAAAATAATTTCGTTGGGGTTGAAAAGTAAAATAGTTTTTTAAAAATCCCCTGCCAATACAGGTTTTCTATTTTTCTCTTGTTGAAATAGACAGATCTTATCTATAATCATACAGGTTTTTGAGCCCCATGGTGATACAGGGTATGGAACAAAAATATTCGTGCGCGACCTAGTATCCCTCTATTATACAGAGTGTTCCAAAAAACACGGGAATTCTTTGACAACTTTGATTCTTTGATTTAGTATAGCGAATGAGAAAAGAGTTTCGTCTGCTATGTTTGTTGGAATTGTACGAAAATTGTCGTATACAAACAGAGTAAACTCGTCACTGTTCATCGTGTGTCGAGACATTATAGACGCCTCTTTACACTCTTTTACCGTTAAAACTCGACATAATAATATTATCGCTTTCTTTGAAATTAGGTATTCATAACCAAAAGGCGATATCGAATTCGTCAGGGAATTCTCATGTTTTTTTGGAACACCCTGTATAAGGAAACCCAGAGGTTCCTA